AAAACAGTTCATTGGAGAAAGCTTTCTCATGCTGGCCTAAGAAACAATGGCAATTTCTCAACAAGGTCAGTAACAGGTGTGTGTGTTTGTTTTGAGCCTTTCCCTGGACTCACCCCTCACCCCTCTGTTGCTCACACCTTGGCCAGCCCTCCCTTGAGATCATACTCACTGGCCTTGAGAGCAGACCCTGGACACCTGCACCACCCAACCCCCACACATAGGACTCTCCTACATCCCCACAGACGCCGGGAGCCTCCCGCAGCTCAGACAGACGTGTGTAGAACTTGGTGCTGGGCCCCCAAGTCCTGTCTAATAGATGGGTGCGGAGAGGGCGGGATCTGAAGCCAGGACTCCTGCTCACCCTGCCCTTCCCCCAGCAGGGGACGCGCCGGGCAGGTGGGCCTTATCTTCTCCCCTCAGTTCCGGCTTGAAAAAGCACCCTTCTTCATTTGTGCGGATATGTGCCTATTGAGTGACTCCATCAGCAAATACCGATGTTGGATGGCTGGGTGGGCGGCCTGTCCTTTCCTTATCTCAGGGCTCACTCAGATGGAAAGAGGCCCCAAGCCCGGGTGCTCTGTTTACTCTGAATTCTCTGCCCATTGTACATGAAATTGATCTGGGGGGGTTTGTTTTTCTTCTTTTTCCTCCAATCTCCTTATTAGTTCAGCCTCAGAAAGTCCCTTATCACAGCCGGATGTCAGGCCACACTCTGCCATCAGGCCTGGCTATGTCAGACTCTCCATTAATTGATTTTACCCTCCCCCCTGGGGAGCACAAATTGGCTCTGCCCATTAGCAGCAATAATTCCCTGAAAGGGATTGTAAATCATGCCCAAGGGTCCATCTATCTCTCACTAAGGGTGGGTACCCCGTGGGGAGAAGCTGGACAAGGATACAGGACATTTGTGGACAGGAGAGTTTCCCCTCAACCTGGTCAAGTGAGGCCACCCACAGTTGACCAGAAAGAGCAGCTCAAACAGGCAGCACCACAGTGAGTAATGATGAGGCAGAGGGAGGAGAAGGCCTTCCACTATGCAGAGTGATTTGAGGATCTCTTGAGTTGTCCTCCACAACACACACACACACACACACACACAACAATCCCACCATCATGCTACCATTCTTTGGCCCTGTCTTCCCAAGTGGAAGTGTTCAGGTAATGCCAACCTATGGGTGACCTTCAGAAACCTGAGTATGAGAGGAGGAGCCCAGTGAGCCACCAGAAGTGAACAGGGGGAGGTGCTCCAGGAAAGGGGGGGTGCCCAGATGGGGGAGGGCAGTCAGGAAGGGAGGGGTGCCCACAGTTCTTCCCACCTTTGCCAGCACACAGGAGGTTCTGAGTGGGCCCGGTGTAGGTGTAGTTCCTGAATGAAGGTATTGCTTGGCCCACTTTCCGCCCAGGTGTTGAGGAAAGGAGTTCCTGCCATGGCTGCTCCACCCCTCCTCCCACGCCCCCACCAGTTTACAGCTCCCCTCCAGCCCAATGTGTTCACCCCTTCCTCCCACGCAGGTAGTGCGCTCTGTCTCCCTTCATTCCCCTCCACCAAGAACCACCACCACGAGCTGTGGGTGGTGTCCAGACAGGTCAGGGCTAATGAGCGGGCTGCTAAGTCCTACCTGAGATACCCCGACATCAGCGGACAAGCTTTCTAAATAGTGAGCGAGAGGACTCTTCACAGAGTGAGCAATGTGTATGCAAGTCAAACCAACATGCCCACACTCGGCAGGCCCTCTGGGAAGCTGGGAGCGAGGGTGACCAGGCAGCAGGGAGCCCAGGCCTCCGCACCGCTAAGAAGGCAGCTGCCACCCAGGCAGGCCCCACCTAAAGCACCGGTCAGCTCAGCCCCTTCTGTGCTCTGGACAGTGGCGCCCCGCGGTGACTGCGGTGCAGTCCTATGCCTCAGTGGCCTTAGAACACATGAATAGGCCTGAGTCCCCACCTCTCTCTTGGTCACCCACAAACAGTGGTTCCTCCTCATCCAAGCCCCCAGCAGGTGCCTGAAACTGCAGAGCCCATGTTTGCCTTTTTAAACATACATACCCAAGATGAGTCTAATTTCTACATCAGGCACCGTGAAAGGTTAATAGCAGCCACTAAAATAGAAATCTCTATGTATGTTCTTGTATATAGTATTTTGGGGCACGGTTAACCACGGTGACAGAAACAGAGGAAAGTGAAACCTCAGATAAGGGAAGATACTGGACTTGTGAATCGTACATTCCTCCCCCTTGCTATTGTTTTCTGTCAGTCTCGCTCCCTGCCCTTCCCACCCGCCCCCTTTCTCATTGCAGAAGCCATGACTGCTTGCCCTGGGCAAGCTTGCCCTTTACGGTGACACCGGAATGTGATGTCCCCACGCCCCAGAGCAGACAGCAGAGGGGCTGCCTGACCCAAGGACGGCCAGACACCTGTGAAGTGGCCACGAGAGAAGATGCTCTTGGTTACTCAGCCTTTGCTCTGAGAGAGAAGCAGAGGGCAGCAGGAGCAGATGCTGGCATATGCCAGGGGTCAGGCTGCAGCAGAACTCCAAGGCAAAAAGATAGGGGAGGGGCACAGAACAGGTGAGAGGTTCTAGGCTGGGACAGAGGAGGTCGCACCCCTCAGGGGCGTGACAGGACACATGAATTGTAGAGGGTTAAGAGTGAGGACATAGGCTAGTTGTTCCAGAACTCTGGCTGCGCCCAGCTTCCTACTACAGGTTGTTTCCATTACGCGAGCTAACTGGCATGTGTCCCTACTGCTTCCAACCCAAATAAGCACTGAACAATTAAGAAAAAGAAACTCATGTCACCATTGGGGAGTAACTGTATACCTAACAGTGGCTTAAACAAATAAGGCGTTAATGCTTCTAACATAAAAAGAGATCTAGGGATAAGTGAATATGATAATCAGATGAGCATCTCTGTGATGATCTTGACCCTTCCCTTATGGGCCTGAGATGGCTCGGCAGGTCCAGCCACCTATGCATTCAGGGAGTTGGGACGAGGTAAGGTGAGCTGGGGTGTCCTAGGGTCAAGGTCAGACAACCCCACTCCAAACTTCCACAGTCCACTCAGCCACATCTGATCAGCCAGAACTACAACTTCCCAGTGCAAGGGGGCTTGGGATGGGGGTGGATAGACATTGTCAATCCTCTGATCCCCTCTTCCTTCTTTAACATGCTTTGCTTCCAAAGGCCTGGCCTGGCCCTGAGGTTCTTCATTGGATAGTCCACAGGTCACCAACAATCTTTTTCTTGCTGGTGCACAGAGCCAGTGATATCAGGACTAGCTAGTGTGAGAACACAAAGGCCCAGCTCCCCTCTCTCTCCTTGGGCCATACTGTACCTCATTCAAAGCCCACAGGGCACCCCTGAGGAGGTAGAGACTCTGGTGCTTTGTGTGTCCTTGCTTATCCCAAACCCTCTTGGATTTCCCTTATTCCGCTGCTCATACGCAAATCCCCATTCAGGGCTGCTCCTGGGGAGCCCAGGCAAAGTTGGGGAGAGCAGTTCTGTCACCATGGTTTGATCCAGTCAAGCTGCTTCCCAGGGCAACAAGTTTAAGAATGGGACTCTATTAGCCAGGAAGGAGGGAAAGGCTATGGGACCCAACCCCTTCATGGGTCATTACAGAAAATGTATGCAGAGACCTGGCCCCTCGCACTGATGGTGGGATGGGAAATGGTGCCACCACTTTGGAAAACAGTCTGGCAGTTCCTTAAAAACTTCAACTAGAAGTGACCTATGATGCAGCCATTCCACTCCTAAATGTAAAGTCAAGAGGAGAGAAATACATTCATAGCAGCTTCATTCAAGTCCCCAAAGTGGAAACCACCCCAATATCTGTCCCTTAGATGAATAAGAAAATATGATATAACTATATCATGACATATGATTTGGTCATAGAGAGGAGCAAAGTACTATTACATGCTACATACAAACTGGGTGAACCTAGAACCTGTGCTGACTGAAGATGCCAAGCATAAAGGGATCCGTGTTGCGTGGGCCCAGCTGGATGAAGTGGGGGCACCATAGAAGCAGAAAGTAGGTGAGTGGATACCAGATACCCAGGAGAGGGGAAGCTAGAGGTGCAGGGCTTCTCTTTGAAATGATGATAGCCAAGCAAAAACCATTCAATTGTGGGATTCAAATATGTACACAGTATTGTATGTGAATTGTGTCTCAATAAAGTTATTATAAATCTAGGTAACACACAATCGAAAAGAGAAAGAGGGGAAGCACACTTGATTCCACCTGCCCAGGACAAGCCATTGTTAATACCCCAAGGCCAGGGTACCCCAGGGCCAAGATACCCCTCCAGCCTCTTTGTTCACACATACGTCTTGCTAACCAATTCTCTCTCCATGGGAACCCGCTAACAGAAAATCCAAGCAAGGAAAATCACCAGCAAACACATCCAATTTATTAGGAGCTTCAACCCTATTACTGTTCCTGATGGAGACTGTCATTTGTCTATTTGCTCTGCCCTGATTTGTCACCCAGTTTACTCATCCTCGGGTTCCCCCAATAGCACGTCAATTCTCCTAACCCCATTGGGTAGCCAAGGCAACTGAGTACAAGGTTTATTCACACCCATTCTGATTTCTTCCCAGCTCCCAAGCTTGGGGGCTTGGGGGTGTTATGGGTGCGAAGAGGGGGCTACTGAGGGACCCCAATCGGACCCAGGCTGTGCAGGAGAAATATGTTTGTTCCAGAAACACCAACCGGCTTGGAGACAGAGGGAAACATGATAACCTCTGGAACACCTGGTAGGTCTCTTTGAGGGGTCGAAGCCACGAACTGCTGCTCTCCATGAAAAAAAAAAAAAGAAGAAGAAGGGCTGGTGGGGGGTGGCAGGCCTGTTTGCACTGGAGGTACTTAGTGCAGCCAAGCTGAGCCGCACTATTCAAACAGACTCCCCAGCCTCCAGACACCTGTGCTGAGGAGGGCGAGGCAGCCGGGAGGCTGGGCACAGGTCCCTGAGGCGCAGAATCCTCGCCTGCCTCCCGCCTCTCCTCCTCGGACCAGCCCAGGCGCCCGGGGCAGAGTCCCGGCCACGCCATGCCCCGAGCTGGGCTCTGCAGCTGCTGGGGTGGCCGCGTGCTGCCCCTGCTGCTGGCCTATGTCTGCTACCTGCTGCTCGGTGCCAGCGTCTTCCAGCTCCTGGAGAAGCAGGCGGAGGCACAGTCCAGGGACCAGTTCCAGCTGGAGAAACTTCGCTTCCTGGAGAACTACACCTGCCTGGACCAGTGGGCCCTGGAGCAGTTTGTGCAGGTGAAGGGGACATGTTGGCATGGGGTGATGGGCAGAACAGGGGTTACGGCAGGTCCAGAGCCTCCACGCAGGGGCCGGGCCCTGTCTGGAAGCAGAGGGTAGTGGGAACAGACAGCTGACTGAGACCCACAGCCGGACGGCTCTGTGACATCGGGCAAGTCATTTCACCTCTCTAGCTCCCTGATCCCCCCCATCTAGAAGGTGAGGCTAGTCCTATCCGTGCTGTAGACTCTGCATGGCAGATTAAAAGCACCTGTGTAGCTGCCATCTGCTGCATCAACTAGACCTGTGTGTCAAGGTCAGCCACTCTGTGCAAACCCTCTCCCACACCTGTGCTCCCTTGCTGCTGCTCCTTCTAGGTCCCCCTTACCCCTCCGCCCCCCACCCCACCCTGCTCATGTCCCTGTATTGACAAATTCGGCTGCAGGTGGGTAACAGATAAATGGCAGGAGAAGCCACCATGTGAGCCTATGTGGCCAGGCTTCAGCTGGGGCTGGACTTGGTGAGCAACAGCTGGGGGCCAACCCAGCTGGGGGCTCTTTCTGCCTGGAGCCCTTCTGCTCCCCTGCACAAACTCTAGGGCCCCAGCACCCTCTTTCCCAGAAACAAGCAATATCCAGTGTCATGTGGGAAATAGAATGTATTTGTGACCAGGGTTTCGAGGGAACAGTAACATCACCACAAAGAAACAAGCCACGGGCAGAATCATTGCAAAAATATTAGGTATTTATGAAGCATTTATAACACTTAAAACAGAGGGGAACAGGGTGAGAACAACGTGATCTAGCACCTGGAGCCTGGGTATTGCTTGTGTTTCCTCATAATACCTATTACTGTTCCTCTTGCTGCTTTGTAAAGGGGTTTGAAGCAGAGAGATGGAGTGTGTTAACCAAGGCTGCACAGTCGGTGGAAAAAAACAGAACTTTTACCCAGGTCATCTGCCCTTCTGCACACAAGTTAGCATAAATGGTGATGGAGGGAAGATAGGCTAGGGCAGTGGTTCACAAAGTGTGGCTTCTGGTCCAGTGGCATCAGTGCCCTCTGGGTGCTTGTTGGAAATGCCAGTAAGCATGCCCCAGCCTGGACCCCCAAATCAGGAGCTCCAGAAGCAGGACACTAGGCTGTGTGCTAATCAGTCCTCCAGGGAAAGCTGATGCCCCCTTGAGGTGGAGAACAGGTGGCCAAGACAACAATGGGTGGGCTGAAAGGTAAAAGAACTTTCTAGAGCTGTAAGAGACCCAGCCAATCCCTGGCTTTGAAGAAATGAGGCTTCTGGTCCCAGCTTTCTCTCCCTTGTCCACCAAAGCACTGCTGCAGCTGTTCTTTGAACCCATGGGCCAGATGTCTAAGGCCGATCAGGCAGAGAGGGTACAGGGCCTTCCCAAGACTTTAGAGAGTAAGGCAGAGGCTCTGGAGGTCCTGGAACCCCATCTTCCCCAGGCCAGGCTCAGAGGTGAAACCTAGGAGTTGCCCAGTATGTCAGGAATTGGGACAGAATTACCTCCACGACTAGAGGAGAAAAGCAGTAGGTTGACTGTGCCATGGATTACCCCACCCTCCGTCTCTCCTGGGGAGCTGGTACATCCTTGTCCCTGAAAATCCTCAGGTTTCTTGGGAGGGACCTTATTTACCAGGGAACATCTAGCTGAGAGGCAGAAAGATACTGGGACAAGGAGCACACATTCCCGCTCAGATCACAAGACCAAAAAGCTAAACCCAGTATGTAAGATCCTCTCATCGGGAACAAGGCTGGCCCAGGTGTATGGGACTTGCGTCTGACTTTCTCCACCACTACGGACAAGAACAGAAGGCCCGACTCCGGCATCCCACCGGCTGGCATGAAGACCTCTCTCAAGGGGATGGAAAGCCTCGGGTTTTCCATAGGGGACAGCTCTGGTCCAGGGCAAGCACCGCTCCCAAGGATGAAGGTCTCCAGGGAGTGGGTGTACTGCTGACGTTTGGTCCCGGCCCTCCGGGAGTGAGGTAAAGAAGGAAAGGTCAGTGTTCAAATGTGAAGAGGTCAGACCTGCCAACGTGAGAAGTAGCCAGGACCCCTCAGACTGGCCCAACCCCTGGAGCCACCCCCAGCCTATTGGGAGACGAATCAGACCCAGTGGGAAACTGTTCTCATAGTTACTAGAAGCTAGAAGGGCCCTACCCCATCGCCTCCTGCTGCCTTTAGCTTGTGGAGGTGTCCAGAGGCAACTCACAGCTACAGGACATTGGGGAGCAGACAGGTGAGGGAACCCTGCACATCTCCAAGAGGACTGGACCTGGGGACAGAGGGATTTAGGCTTGAGCCTTCAGGGATTCTGGCCCTATAAATAAGCACAAGCTAGACCACATGGGCAACATACAGCATCCATACATGCATCGCATGGATACAACATGCCACACACATACACCACCAACACACACAGGACCTTTGCCCTGGCTGCTGATGGAATTTCTCAAGGAGGCCTGGGCTGGGACTTACTAGGGGGTAGCAACGAGCACAGCTGCCAGCTCACCTGGAAGCTTTACACAAGGTTCTGTTCCTGCACCATCAGCCTCAGGGGAGGGCAGCCCCATGGCTCCTGTACAGCCCCCAAACCCTGTGTTCCCCAGTAACCCTTACCTGGCACACCAACCTGAAATCTTCCTGTTATCCTAACAACCCATTTGCATCTCACCCTTGACTCAGGCATCTCCCACCTGGACCACCCCTAAGCATCCTCTGCCTCACCTCCTTGGCCCAGTTTCCCCCAGCCCATGCTCACACCCACACTTCAGTTGGCCTGACCAGAAGAACAGGCAGTGGGTTTGGAATCCAATGACTTCGCACAGCTGACTGAACTGCTCTGAGCCTTAGTTTCTTTTGCCATGCAATTGGAGTGCGAGGATCTCAGAAGATCACGTCATAAAGTGACACCGAGTGACTGTAGTTTGGTCAAGAGCCAGTGCGGTCAGCTCCCTCTTCCTCTCCCCCCATACCCACAGGTCATCCTGGAAGCCTGGGTGAAGGGTGTGAACCCCAAAGGCAACTCCACCAACCCCAGCAACTGGGACTTCGGCAGCAGTTTCTTCTTTGCAGGCACGGTCGTCACCACCATAGGTAAAAGTCAGGTGGACAGGGCAGCTCGCCATGCACCTGCCTGAGTTTGGGTTCCTCAAAGCAGATGCTGAAACAAGGATGTGGTATATATATCTAGGGGTGGTTTCAGGAAGTATGAGTAGAGAAGTGGGAACATGTACTGAGAGCGAGAAAATGAGAACATTTGCACGAATGAGCAGGCTCTTGGTGAGGATGCAGGTCTCGGTGAATGTCCTGGGGACCTTCGAAGGACGAAGCAGGGTGTCCTGGGGACCTTCTAAGAGCCCATCACAGAACAGATCTCTGAGGGGCAAGAAAGCATGAGTGTTTATGCGCCCACATCTATCTTCTTGGAAATATTTGTTCTCTAGCATTTCAGATGTGCCCACAGTTCAAGTACACTCCTGCAGCCAGAAAAATCTCTCAGGTAGAGAGAAATGCATAGACTTGGGCTGGAAGTCATGTGTTCACAGAAACTGTCCACCTAAGCTGCAGGTGATACCCCGGTTCCTAGGGGACAGGAGGCCACTAACATCTTCTACACCCCCCATCAGTAAACTCATGCCACCACCTGGAAGGAAATGCCAGCCCCTTCTAGACCCAGCCTCCCCATCCAGTCCAATCCATACAACTTCCTTGAGCAAAGGAGACATATAACCAGATGGAGTGGGAGGAAGGGGCCACAAACTTGAAGCAGACCCATGCTTAGCCCTCAAGGAGCTTCCCATCCCGTGATAAGGTAAACCAAAAGGAGTACCTAGGCACCGTGGATAATCAAGTGCCACCCAAAAGCACGGTAGGGAGCTATGCCAGCAGGAAGGAGGGCGTGAGAGTTAGATGGCTTCCTGGAGGTGGTGTATTTGAGATGGATCTTTGAAGATAACCAGGATTCTTATAAATAGAGATCATTCTAGCAGAGGTGGGAAATGTGCCCGTGGGAACAGAGGGCTAACTCTCCTCCCCCAGAAGTGGCAGCAGACAGTATCTGCGGAGTCTGGGATGGGCAGGGAAGCCGCTCTGAGCTCTCTCTTCCCCGTCTGTGGACACGCCTCTTCCTCTGACAGGATACGGGAACCTGGCACCCAGCACAGAGGCAGGCCAAGTCTTCTGCGTCTTCTATGCCCTGGTGGGCATCCCACTCAACGTAGTCTTCCTCAACCACCTGGGCACCGGGCTACGTGCCCACCTGGTCACCCTTGAGAGATGGGAAGACCAGCCCAGGCGCTCCCAGGTAAGGACAGCCCTGCAGAGGTCAACCCTGAGTCAGGGGTGTCAGGGGTTGACTCCATGGAAAGAGAGGTTTGAGCTGAGGAGAAGCTGAACCTCGGGATGATGATGTAGGCTGAATTTAGCCAAACCCTCAAGGAGTTAGGCAACCAGCAGTGGGCGAAGTCAACCCACACTTTATGTCCCTGCCTCAGTCAGGGCTTGGGGTAACCTCCTCCGCACCCCCGGTGGGCCAGACTGTTCTCTGGAGATGAGGTGAACCCTGAAAGACTTGATAGCTGAAAGTGTTACCTGGTCAGTATCACATCTTTGACCATCTATGTGGGACATCTCCACGGCCATCACACAGCTCCAGCATCCTTTCTTTGGTCAAAAACAAACTCCAGACCTACCCAGCATGCCTTTAGTGTCCTTCTCATTGGTCAGGCCCTCAAAAAGCCAGGCATCTGGAAGGGAAGGTGCAAAGGAATCTGGGACTGTTCAGTAACAGCTCTTTGTCCCCCAGATCTCACTCAGTCTGGGAGACAGGGCAGGGAGAGAGCTGTACAAATGTGACTTCCTACGCCCAAGGAATCTCTAAGTTCCAAATCCTTTTTTTTTTTTTTTCAGAGAAGGTTTTTCTTTCTTTTTTGAAGATTTATTTATTTATGCATACAAGAACTAGGGTACAGACCAGAGGTGCAGGGGCTGAGAGACTCCACCAGAGACAGAGTGGGAAGCAGAACAGGCAGATCTATTGAAACACATCTGCTGAGCCATGTGGGCCACCCCCTGGCTGGGGGTCGAACTCCTGCCACAGTGACTGCAGACAGCCCCACAGTGCTGTGCTTTAACCTGTTGTACCACAAAGGAGGGCCCTAAATTCCTAATTCAAACCTGACCCACTAACATAATTCTTCTGACCAAATCCTCAGCAGCCAGGGCAATCCCAACCCAAGGTCTGCAGGGTGGGCAGGACAGGGACTAACCCATGGCTCAGGCCCACACCCCATCCTGCTTCATATAATCCAAGTGGCCTCAAAGACACTCCCTCTTCCCCAGCTACTGCAGACCCTGGGCCTGGCTCTGTTCATGGCCCTGGGGACGCTGGTGGTTCTCATCTTTCCCCCTATGGCCTTCAGCCATGTGGAGGGCTGGAGCTTCAGCGAGGGCTTCTACTTTGCCTTCATCACTCTCAGCACCATCGGCTTTGGGGACTACGTTGTAGGTAAGGAGGCAGCGAATCCTGCCTGGGGCCACGGGTTCGGGGGTGGAGAAATGTCAACACAGGTGGCCTCTGAGGACCAGAGAACCCCTGATAATGCAGGGAGATAAGTGAGCTGTGGGAGCACACCGACTCATTAGCAAGTCACTGGTTGGAAACCATCACCCTTTTCCCTGGGGACCTCAACCCCAACCCAAAGTCTGCAGGGTGGGTAGGGTAGGGACACTACAGTGCTGACCCTTGTAATGGGGAGGCTGGTGGGCAAAGCCTGGGCGGTGGCTGTGTCCCACGCCCTCTGGCATTTATCCCATCCCCCCTTCCCTGCCAGGCACAGACCCCAGCAAGCATTATCTGTCGGTGTACCGGAGCCTGGCGGCCATCTGGATCCTCCTGGGCCTGGCGTGGCTCGCACTGGTCCTCCCGCTGGGCCCCCTGCTTCTGCGCAGGTGCTCCCAGCTCTGGCTGCTCAGCAGGAGTCTTGGCCTCAAGGAAGGAGGCGTCTCTGAGACCGATGGGCTCCCCAGACCTGCCAAGATTCCCATCTCTGCATGAGATCCCCCTGGGAGCCCCTCTGCACCTCCCCCACCACCCCATATGCCCTCGGAATTCCTGCCCCACCTCCTCCTCTGCCCACCCACTCAATTCCCAGACAGGGCTGGTGTCAGGAGTTCCTTGAAGAGAGAGAGCGGAGAGCAGTGTCCAGCAAGGTAACAGAAAGGCGATGCAAGAGAGGGTAAAGACAGATGTGTGTGGAGCCCTGTGGGTGACTGCCCCAGAACCCCTGTGTGCTTTCCCCTTCAAAAGTTGCAATCTGGAAAACTGGAATCCAGACTCGGATCACTGTGGCCCAACCCCCGCCTTCCCCGGCCCCCTCCCAGGAACCCTTACACAGGACAGCAGACAAAGCGTGACTTTGCTTTTGCACCATTTGCTACCTGTACAATGTACATTCATCAGGAACAATGGGCTCCCCACGTGTCAGGCACTGTGCCAGACTCTGGAGAGGCACTGACAGTTCCTACCTCCATGTACATTTCCTCCAGTGGAGGAACTGGACAAGCAGAGAGTTAACCCCCACTTGGTGCCCAACATGCCATGACAAGGCCAGACCCAGAGCGTGATGAGAACCCAGGGAGTGGCACTCAGGGAGGGTCGAGGGAAGGAGAGGGCTGGGAGGAACTCTGAAGCCCTCTTAGTGCAGCTAGGATGTCAGGAAGCTTCCCTGTGGGGCAAGCAAGACAGTGAGCTAGAGGTGACCGTGAACAAGGCTTAAGAGTTCATGGGTATCCACCGACTCTCCTGGGCTTCACAGGTATCCCTTCACCTCATCTCCCCCTCTGGGTTCCTGTCTTTTTAAGAGTCTTTCCAAACACCCATGGGGGGAAGTGGAGAGTCCGAAGATCCCAGGAGGCTTCTAAGAAATCCGTGCCAAGGAGGCTGGGCCTCCTTTGGAATGCACTCTGCGGCTCTGGCCTTTCTCCTGCCAGACTGACAACTTTAGCCAGGAGAAGAGAGATTTAGACCAGTTTATCCCAAGGCCAGCCTCACCAAGGACTGCAAATCTCAGTGCCAACTTCTCCCAGCAAGGCGGGCTCATAAGTGGCCAGGGACCTCTGGAGAGGGCAGGGGCAAAGATGTGAAGCAAAGATCTCAGTGCAGGACCAGGGAAGCATGGCAGCCGCCAGGAGAGCAGGGTGACACCTGCTATGGAGGGAAACTGAGGACCCTCATGGACCCTGCTGTACCCTGGACCCTTCCTGCTTTCTGGATGGAGGAGAAAGTTAGGGGGCCTCACAGAGGTAGGGAACACACAAGTCCGTTGTCAAGGCTCCTTGCTTCCCAAGCCCATGGAAAAATAGTGATCAGCTGGGGTCCCTCCTCCTGGGATACATGGAGGATGGTGGTAGGAGAAACTCAAGGAGGACTTGACTAGCAGCAAGTCCTTGGCAACCATCCCAGCATCATCGAAGACTTAGGCAGGGTTCCTAAGACAATAAACTTGGCTTCTACTTGCTCTTCAGGAGTCTCTCCCACTGTTTGCTACAGGGCAGTCTGGGAACTTCTGGGTCCCTTCCTCAGTGCAGGCCACCAGCAGCTCTTCCCCTCCCCCCTCCCCACCCCAAGTTAGGCCTGGGGCTGGCACCACACACATGAAGGCGGAGCCACCCATCAGGACCTCTTGTTGAACTGGGATTGGATCTGGACTGGAGGGGCAGGGCTGTCCAGTTCTCTAGCACGCCTACTGTGCTGAGAAAACTCGGCAGGACAGGCATTCATTTGCTAGAAAAGGAAATTTTCCAGCTCTTAGCCTTTCCTTTCTGCCTCAGTCCTGGTCCAGGACTCTCGGCTCCTGCTTCCCCAGGCTTCTGCCATGTACAGCCCAAAAGCCCAGAGGGTGCCCGAGGCCAGGGCCAGGGGCTGCAGAGTGCCAAAGACAGCACTCCTGCTGCCCGCCTACCTGGCTTACCTGGCGCTAGGTACCAGCGTGTTCTGGATGCTGGAGAGCCCAGCGTCGAAAAACTCCAGTCACAGATTCCAGAGCGACAAGTGGGCGCGCTGCTGCAGAACTTCACGTGTCTCGACAGCCCGGCGCTGGAGTTGCTGATCCGGGTCAGGGGCGAATGGGGCGGCCAGGGCAGTGGGGTGGGGGGGTCGTGCAGGGGGACGCCCCCGAGGGCACGTCCAGGGGGCAGAGGGCATGCCTTGGCTCCCAACAGTGCGGTCCGGAGGACCAGAGGAAAGACACGTGGAGGAAAGAGATGCTGGACGACTGTGGGCGCCGTTTATCGGGCAGGGTCCACAGGGTTGAGAGGGAGCATAAAGGAAGGAACCCCGTTGCTGCGAGGGAAATACGCCGCTCTGGACGCGCTCCTCCGAGTCCTCCTTTAGCTGGCAAGGGGTGGTGACCCGCTCCAGGTGGAGAGATGCTTGGTGTTAACATCTGTCTTGAGGGATGAGGAAGACAGAAGACGTGCTAACTGGGGTCGGGAACTAGAGGGGCCCTCCCGTCGGGTCAGGCTGTTGGGCCCGGAGGGAGGGGGCCCGGAGGGGGGATCCACCCCGACCGCGCAAGCTGTCGCATCCGGCCACCGGCGAAGGGCGACAGGACGCGCTGGAGTCGCTGGCCAGCGTCTAAGGAAGACCAAGGGTTGGAGACTGGGGGGAAGGAATGCTTGTCCCAATGGGGTGGGTGTCGGTCGCCGCAGGTCTGGGGAGGAGCGCCGGCGCTCTTGGGCTGAGTCTGCCAAACGCGGAGAACGGCGCGCGGCTGAGGCCAGGAGGTTTGCAGAGGGAGGAGGCTGAGGACCCGCAGGGGCTGGGGGAGGGGGCCGGCCGGGCTCGTCGCTGCGGGCACAGCACGCGGATGCAGGGGACTCTGCGCTGGGAGCTGCTGGCGTTTGGCAGAAGCATTAATGTCTCGGCCTTGGCTTGGCTACTGAACCCAGACTGCTGCGCTGCTAACCCGAATCTCCAGCCTCGATTTCAGGTTACCTGCTCTACCTAAGAGCACAGAGTCTGGATTTTGGTGTCGCCAGCCCAAAACCAGTTTCCAGAAGGCAGTTGGGAGATGTCTGAATGGGAAGGGTCTCTGGGACACACGTGAAGGCTGGCAGGCGCCTGCGGGTTGCGCTAAGAGCTTAGCGGCTGCCTCTGGTCCCCATTTCTAAACTTGTAGGCATCCAGCCCCAGCGCCTGGTGCAGGTGCTGAGACTGTGTGATACTACTCTAGCAAAGGTGGTGAGCTTCAATGACAAGCAGCCCAGAGAGGATGAGAGTGATGGCGATAATGATAGTAGATGCTCTGTGTGGCACTTACTGTACCCAGGGTGTTAATCTGTTATTACTCCCTCATCCTAACCCACAGGTGGGAACTGTGATCAGTCCCATTTTAGAGATGAAGAAAGTGAGGTACAGAGAGGTTGATGGCCACATGGCCCACCCAGGAGCCGGGGGCTGTCAGCCATCATGAGTACCCTCAGTGTGGCTCTGGGAAGTTCTGTGTTTTCCAAGGTTCCTAGCTGGGCTTTCATCCCACCACACTTCCACTCTGACCTCTTCCTGCTCCACCTCCAATTCCTTCCTCAATCCTCCTCTGGATCCTGGTCAGCCATGCCCAGGAAAAAGATATGGCATGACCCACCCAACCCAGATCTCCCCCTGAGCGCCAGACACATGTAACTCCCCACCCTCAAATTCTCCCCAAGTCAAGAGCAGACGGCCTTCCTCCTCCCAACCCTACTCCTCCACCTGTTCTGAATCTCTGTGGTTGGCCCCATAGTCCAATACCTCACAAGACCAAATACGGCCCGGCTGGGCTTCTAAGAATATCTCGTCTCTGTTCCTGTGGGACTGCTTCATCCCATGATGCAGGAGGTCTCCATCACCACCCCCTGAAGCATGCTCCCCTTCTGATCTGTTAACATCTGTGCTGCTACTGTCTCAGCACACTCAAACCTGCCTCCCTTTCGCTCCATGACCTTGAAGAAGCCAGCCCTGGCGTGCCAGATCCTGCATGGCCTGGCCTGCAGTCCCCCTATTCTAGACCCCAGGCAGGACCCCCTCCCAGCCTTTGTTCCTGCTGTCCCAGCTACCTAAATGTCCTGCCAGGAGCAATCCCAGCAGACCCTCAAGGAAGGCTCACCTGAAATGTCACCCCTCCACGAAGCCTTTGCCCCCACCCTTATCAGAACAGCCTTCCTCTCTGAACGTTCATTCTCTTCCTCTTAGAACATCTTCCCACAGCATCATCCTGGTGATAATGCAATGACAGCCACCACTAACATTTTCCATGTTCCAGGTTCTTAGGCTTTACACCTAATGCTTCATTTAACCCGCCCGCCAGCTCTGTGAAGCCCTGGAGTCACAAAGAGGAAGGGGAGGCGGGGGCGGGGGAGGAAACTTGATGTCTCAAAGGACCCCAAGATTAGTGTGGATTTGCAGGGACTAATGCTTCCTGAGGAGAGCACAGCCCGCTCCTTGCCTGTGTCCACAGATGCTATTAGGATTCCACTTGACAAATTAGGAAACTGAGGCACAGACACACTGCATATCCTCCTGAGATCATGCAGCCACATGCCTTAATACCTGCAAGCTGCCTGATGGCACCATGTTATAAAGCCCAGAAACCATGTCCCTCTCGTCTTTGGGTCAACTCAAAGCACCACACGCCATGCTTGACCTGTCCACATTGCAAGGATGGGAGTGAGCAGGGGAGGAAATATCCTGGGTTGAGCTGGGTACAGAGGAGAGAGTGCTGCCTCACTGCCCAGCCCCCAGTTGCAGGGGAACTGCCTTTCTCTGACCAGGCTGAGACCAAAGCAAGCTTGTGAGACTGTCCTTGAGTGTGTGTGTGTGTGTGTGTGTGTGTGTGTGTGTGTTGGGGCAGGGGCTGGCTCCAGGGACCCAGTCACCCCAACAGCCTGGTGGTCACTGAAGCCTCTCCTCAGGGCATCATCCAAGCATACAAAAGTGGGAACATCGTCTTCGACAACACCACCAGCATGAGGCGCTGGGAGCTTGAGGGCTCCTTCTTCTTTTCCATGTCCACCATTACCACCATTGGTAAGCGGGAGAGGCCAGGGTGGTTGGGCTGGGAGGGTGGACCCCGAGGGGCAGGGGATCAGTTGCTTTTTGGTAGGCTTGACTCCTAGTACATGTGTGCCCTCCAACATGGGCACTGCCTGGGAGCAGAATTTCAGGGCTGCCTGCAGAGCTCTTCATCTGTTCTACAATTTCCGAGGACCCCAGGAGGTGTGTGCAAGGCTCCAGTTCGAGACACACTATTTACAGGATAGCTGTTTCACAGTCTTTCAGTAAGTAGAGGCCTCTCCAGTACAACAGTAAAGAAACTTCTGGGATCTCCACATGCGCTAGTCTCCTCAGCCAAGTCCATCTGACACTGAACCCCAAAGATGGGAGGATGGGGTGTAAGGGAAACCTGGGAAGGAAGGAGAGGCAGAATCTCCAAGAAACTATTGCAACCCCTCTTCACAGCCTTCTGAAGGCCCCTCCCAGCTCACTAAAGCACCCCTCACCCTATTACCTCCTCTCCAAGTCACTTCTTCCTTCACTCACTGGGACGTGGAGGCCAAGTACCCCTCTTGTTTCTGTACCCCCGCTCCCAAAAGATCAAAGGAGGAACTTGTCAGAGGAGGGCGTTGGAGGGGAAGAAGAACCTCAGTCTAGGTCCCTCCAGCTCCAAAACCCTCTGAAATAACTCAAAGGGTGCTTTCCCAGCCCCCAGCATCGGCATGCACAGGAATGACCACTAGGTGGCAGCCTGACACCGCGGTGGCTCTAGCAACCGAGGCCCGCCAGGATTGTCTCAATGAAACCAGTATCACAGATTCTGTCCTCCTGAGTGGAGCCACCAGGAGCACCCAGGAGACTCTTCATCAGTTCTTAATGAGCCAGTACTTCTCAGAGGCAGGTCTCAGGGTGACAGGGGAACTTGGGCCATCGTCCACTCTGGGACAAGCAGGCGTGGGAGACTCCATACAGCCTGTGTGTGCCCAGGCCTGATGAGGAAGTTTGGTTCACTTTTACAGACCCCGTGGACACTCTGCAAAGGTGTCAGGTTCGTGGAGCCCGTGAACGCCGTGTCCTGAGTTTCAGGGCAGTGGGGGCTGATGTACAGACACCAGGGGCCAGGCCTCCCAGGTGTATGGGGGTCCTTAGGCTCTGAACCCCACACCTCCTACACCCCTGCCCTGGGCCCGTGAGTTTTAGCCCACCAAATTCAGAGTTCCAAGGCCTACCTTTCTTAGCCCTTCCATTACTAGCTGAGACCACCAGCCTGCACCTTCCTCTTCACTGGTTTCTACCTCAGAGTTGTCAGCTCTGAGGAGAGAAGGCAGAGAAAGGGTTTGGCACCGCCCCCAGCATGCATTGGAAGGAGCGCTTTTACCTGGGAGATCTCGTTTTGTCCACCTGGCCCAGCCTCCAAGGATAAGGCTCATTATGTTCACACCATCGATGAGGAAACTGAAGCACAGGGAAGTTGCATGGTTTCTCCGAGTTCACATAGCTGAAAGCTGAATCCTGCCTGTGGGCCTTCACTGCTTTCTTATCCAAAGTGTCTGTCCCTGTCTGTCCCTCACAGGGTTTACAAGATACAGGGGAAATCTAGGCCGCCGGCAGAAATGGCAGTTGAGGGTGAGCGATAGAGAAACCCGTGAGTTTGATTCTGACCTGTCTCTCTCTCCCAGATAGATTCACACTCACACACGAGTACACACATCACCTACATGCACAGACATATTCACCACACACACAGGGAGGAGCAGCAGAGAGAGCAAGGGGAGCGAAGATTTTGGGATGTGTACATGTGGGACAGCTCACAAGGGGGAGAAGGGGTATCCTGGGAGGCACACCAGGGGGCTGCCTCCTTGCCCCCCCACCCCCGCCCCCGGCCCAGTTCCCCAGAGGCTGCACTTTCTAATGAAATGCTAGAACACAAGCCCTTCTGGACTAGCAGGACAAGCCTGGACCCAGAAATCGTTCATCATCACTAAACCCTATCCCGGCTTGCTCATGTGTTCACTTACCTATCCATACATTCACCCAGCAAACAGACTGTGGTGAGTGTGGGTTCACGGTGCTGAGGATGCCAGGGGGAGAAAAGCCGGCAAGCCCCCGCCTATGGGGAGCCCACATTCTGGTGAGGCGGCGCACAGCAAGTAAACAGCAATGTGGGCATTGCTTGAGGTGCTTAGAGAAGAAGAAAGCCAGGGGAGGAGTGTGACAGTGATGGAGTGCCAGGGGAGTTTCTGGGGATAGTGTTCACCAAATAGCACTGAAGCAGGGACATGAGCAGAATAAGGAACAAGCTGTGTAGAAACCGGGGGAAAGAATCTCCTACCGGCAAGTGCAAAGTCCCTGAGGTAGGACACAGCAGGGATAATTGAGGAACAGTAAGGAGGCCTGGTGGGTGGAAGGGTTGGGACCAAGGACTGAGTTCAGAAAAGGTACAGAGGATCCCAACTACTGATGGCCTCGCAGGACCTGCTGGGTATCCGAGGACTGGACTGGTACATGCGAGTTGACCGCAGGGAGACCCGCTCAAGTGAGAGGCTCACATGGGCAGGCCTCCCAGCCTGCAATAGGTAGGTGAGGGCCACTGATATTTAACTGAGGATCAGGTCAGAAGCCTGTGGTGAGAAGGAGGAAAGGAGAAAATCCTACTTAATGTTAGAAATGTTAATCTTAGAAAGACAGGGGGCCCTTCCTGACCAGAAATTCCACAAGTCACAATTGAGTGAAAAGATCCCCAGGGGTGGGTAGGAGGGGTCACAGCTAGAGGAGGGGTGAGGGTGGAAACCAGGAGGGGGACCCCTCCCTGGATGGACTCTATAAAGGCCATGAGGCGAGGGGGTTGGATGAGATGAGGAATTTGATGTCTTCGGGCCAGAAGCTGGTTTGTAGCGCTGGGTCATCCATGCACCTTTTGTATGCTAGGTACTTGAGGGTTCACATTCCCATCTCCAGCACACCCCAGTTGCACGCCAGGCTGTGATAATGATGCCCATTTTACAGACAGCGAGTTTGGCTCAGAAAAGTCAAACCACTTGTCCAAATTCCCACAGCCCACAAAAGGCAGAACCAGGATTCTAACCCAGGGAGTGCCTTGGCCTCCGAGGTCTCGTATGTGCTCGGAGCTCTCACAACACAGAGCCTCCTGAGGTCGTCACTAAAGTGGGGGGCAGGGGGTCTGTCAAACCCCAGTTTCAATAAAGTAGAAATGAGTGAGGAGTGTATGAGGACCCCAGCCTCCACATGGCTGGGGGTGGGGAGGGACATTGGCCAGTGAAGCAAGGCAGCACTTTCACTACATCCATTCCTATAGCCCTCTTTCCGTTCATTCTTTCATTCCTGGACTCGTGCAACACACATGTTGAGTATCTATTAAGGACTTTGGCTTTCATAGGTGGGCAAGGAGAGGAGGCATGGAGGCATGTGTGTGTGGGTGGGAGGATTCTACTGGGCAAAAGCTGGGGAAGCAGGGGCCAGATGAGGTTTGGAGACAGGCTGGATGAAAGTTTGGACTTTCCCCAGCAGGCACGAGGCAGAATGAAGGGTAATAATTTGGGAGACAGTATCATCGGGTTTGCATTCTGGAAAAACAAGAAGGCAGTGATGACCTAGGAGGGTAGAAACAGAGGTGGAAGTGAGTGAAGGAAGAAAAAAAAAGGCCCAGCCTCTCCTTGCCTTACCCTCCTGGCCAGAGGCCCGACTGTCAGATCACCTGGAGGTCGGTTATGGGGAACGCAGTGCTGGGGGTGGGATTTGAAGGCAGCCCAAGTGTTTTCTTTTGGACCGTCAGCAAATCAGATCTCAAGATAGAATCAGACGTGCAAGGAGATTCACTGGAGAGGGGAGAAGCGTTGGAAGGAGAAGGGGCAGGATAAACCATGACAGCCTCAGACGGCAAAGCAGGTCTGGGACCTGGGAGAGGAGAGTGGGAAGAGGGGGCTGCTGCCACGGAACACACGGCAGACTTGAAACATGCTCTGTGGGACCCCCAGGAGGATTTCCTGGTAGAGGGCTGCCACGTGGCCAGCTCTGGTGCCCCTGCAGTACCCAGAGACCATGGCCTCAGCTTGTGTGGAGCTGCGGGTCCCGGAGGTGTGGTTGCCAGTGCTGTACACCCAGCAGCCTCCCTGCTGCAGCCCTCGACCTGCCCTCTGCCCACGAGAGCGGGAGGACATGAGAGGGAAGCCAGGCGCCCACACTCCTGGGCCCAAGTTCCCACACTTCTGACTTTTCTAGAGCGCCTGTTGATCCCCCTGTAAACTGGAACATAAGGTAGCTGTGAGGCTGGACTGAGGGGAGGGAAGTAGTGGCCCCTGCACAGTGCCTCGTGTGGGAAAGCAGGGCTTCACATACACCCCCTGGCCACGGCAGTCAGGAGCTCTGGACTGCGGGCGCCTGGGAAGCATGAGGCTCAGAGAAGCCGAGCCCCTGGGACAGGTGTCCTGAGTGTCACCCTCTGTTCCCAGGCTACGGCAACCTGAGCCCCCGAACCAGGGCTGCCCGCCTCTTCTGTATCTTCTTTGCTATTGTGGGGATCCCCCTCCACCTCATAGTGATCAACCAGCTGGGGCATCTGATGCAGCGAGGGATGCATGACTGTGTCCGCAGGCTGGGGGGGCCCTGGCAGGTAAGGGGGCTGCAGGACGGAGGGTGTGGGTCCCTGCTAGGGTGAAGGGCATAGTGGGACTCAGTGTTCCTGATGGCAAGGGGCATCCGTGCCCAGAAGAGTCTCTTATAGAGAAAGGACAGCTGAGGTGGGATGGGGGTCTCTACCCAAAAGTGGGGTCTTTAGTAATAAAGTGGGGGAGATGCAATAGGACCTGGGGGACAGGAAAAGAGCCTGGAGAACACAAACTAGGTGGGGAGCTCAGGGGATCCCTTCCTACTGCCTTCATTTGGCCTCCTGGGCTGCTGCTCCCCAGTCCCCACACAATGGGCAAAGGCCACATGGGGCTGGGACTGTGTGCACCCACAGGACCCAGCCAAGACCCGGGGGCTGGCAGGCGCAGGGACCCTCCTCTCAGGCCTCCTGCTCTTCCTGCTGCTGCCGCCGCTGCTCTTCTCCCACATGGAGGGCTGGAGCTACATGGAGAGCTTCTACTTCGCCTTCATTACCCTCAGCACTGTGGGCTACGGTGACTACGTGATCGGTGAGAGCCCCAACAGACGGCTGGGTGGGAGGGGATCCAGAGGCTTGGCTGATGCCCACGCAGCAGCCACCCGGCACCAGGCTGTAAGGAGTTTTAGAGGCCCAAAGTGCAGAGGGCACTGTCCCGTGCAGATTCACAATCCCCCCCCCCCCCCGGTTGTGTGATGGGGCTAAGGTCACCTAGTAAAAAGTAACAAGTGTGATTCAACCCCAGTGCTGCAGGTAAGTCACAGCTCCCAGGGGTAAGGGGTGGGACATCGAATATCCACTGGCTCAACCATTGTTCTCAGAGGTCAGCAAATAAGGGGAGTCTCCAGCACCCCCACCCTCCCCGCCGACATGTTCCAGGATCCCTTCTCCCCACTTCACCCTGCCTCTGAAACGCCCTGCCTCCCACCACCCTGGGCCAGTCTAGTGCTTCAAGAGGCCCCACTTGCATGAGAAGGCAGAACGAGCCCAGCAGGGGGCAGTAGAGGACATTCTTTTGGTGGCTGAGGTGGCCAAGCCACCCCCTACTCTCTCAGCCTCATCAGTGGCCCCTTTGCTGCTCCTGAAAGGCCTGCCCGTCTTCACGCCTTTGCAGGCAGAGCCCAGCCTGGAATATTGAATAAGGGTGACCAAAGTGGCAGACAGTTCACTTACCGAACAACCTAGAGTGTCACCCCAACTCACTGAGGAGGAAGTATGAAGCTCAGAGAGGCCAAGTCACTTGCCTGTGATTGCACAGCCAATGAGACGAGAATTCTATTTTCCTTGACTCGAAACTCATCCTCTTTCCAGACCCCCTCACTTACCCCTTCCAGAGCCTCAGTGTCCCGGTCGAAAACGAGGGCCCCAGGCTAATTACTAGAAACCCTTCGGTGCCTTCTGGCCTCTGTGCAGGGCCCACTTCCCTGAACACGCCCTCTGGGAAGCAGGGTGTGGGCATCGGGGCCTCCTGCTGGCCCTTCCTGCCATCTCTGTCCCTCCAGGAGGCTGTTGCTCTGAAAGGATCCTTGGGAAGATTTCGGCCAGCTGGGTTCTTCTCCCGCTCCTCCCCTCAGAGTAAGAGAAGTGTCCCCACAGAGGGCTCAGCCAGATGCCCCAAGCCCTCCTACTTCTCATGATTCAGAGAACACTTCTTGTGTCTGTCCTTTTCTGCCTGTCCTCACTGCCACTTCTCCCAACAGTGGGGCTGTTGCTTGTGGCCTGCTATGCTGGTTGTGTACTGTATACTCTTAATGGGTTGCTGCTCACACAGGATACCCAGGTCTGCGAAGCCTCCATCTCATACCCCCTTGCTCTTACCACCTCTGGAAGTGACAAGTGCTCTCATGTCATCTGCCTGGCTCCATAGAGCAGATGGGGTCCAATGTCCACCTCTAGGCCTTTGAAGGCCCTCTGTGATGAGGCCTACCTCCCTCCCCCTCTGAGCTCTCTCCTTTCCACAGAGTACTCAAGCCTCCACAAAATACCGGCCTGGCCACGGCAGCCTCAGCCCAGCACAGCTTGATCAAGCATGTCCTGCAGCAGGCACCCTGACTCCAGGCTCAGAGGATGAAAGTCATGATTTGCCCCCAGGGATACTTCTAAATCCAGCTAGCCTAGTTCTGAGGGCATCCGATGCAAGGAGAAGGGAGGAAAAATGGAAAAAAGACCATTTCTCCCCCAACTCTAGTTTTCCAGTGTCCAGATTCCCAAGGCTTGCACCCTTTGGTCTGGATGGGAATAGCTGACAGCAGACTCCAGAAAACATGTCAGGAGCAGGGTGCTGAGGGTTGATGGGGTGACACTATAAAGATGTTCTGTGGCTCCACCATCCCCTGAGTCACAATAGGTGAGGAGAGGGGCACCCTCTGTAGGAAGGAGCATCCTAAAAATAAGAGGGAAGGCTTTCACCACCATCAAGGGAGGACATGCTTGATCAAGCTGTGCTGGGCTGAGGCTGCCATGGCCAGGCTAGTCAGAAGGGTATTTTGTGGAAGCTCAAGTGTCCTGTGGAAAGGAGAGAGCTCAGAGGGGGAGGGAGGCAGGCCTCGTCACAGAGGGCTTTCAAAGGCCTAGAGGTGGATATTGGACCCATCAAGTGACATCACACCATCACTCAACAGGAGGTGAGAGCCAACCAGGGCCCTGCTGCCCTGCGAGCAGCCCTGTGGGAATAACAGAGCCCTCTAGGCCCAGAGCTCTCGGGCCTCGCTGTGCTCTTCACCACCACAGGAAACCTGCTATTCACCCTGGGCCCTCCTGCAGGTGTATCAGTGCCTCGTGGCAAGTGACCGCATGGGTGTCCTCAACCACCTCATCTGCAAGGGAAACTGAGACCCACCAAGGAGACGACCTTGGTTCGGGTGACAGGACAGGTTGCCCGCAGCTCCAGGAAGTGAGCTGGGACTCCTGAGTCTTCCATAGCAGAGAAGAAACTAACCCACCCTCACCTCTTCCCTGTGTCTCAGTCTTCCTGGTCCTCCAGCGGCAGGGTCAAACCCCTGCCTGGAGGGGGAATGGAGTGGTCCACCACCTGACGCGGGCACTCACTGCCCCAGTCAGCCCCTGCTAGAGATATTGACATCACGGGCTCCTCTTTGCCCAGAGGCCCTGTGGAGCCGCCCCAGGCCCCAGCTGCCTCCCCTCCCTGATCTCACAATCGCTGTTTCCCCCAATTGCATTTATAACTCAGTGGAGCGCCTTGCCAGCTGCCAGGTCTCCTGCCACTTATGATTTCGGCTATAAAAATTAAATCAAAGGGGAGAAGAACACCTCCTCCATTCGGTTGCCAGGAGCAGACTGAGCTGGGGGTGGCAGGGGCAGAAAGCTGGCTCACCACTGATCTCATTTGGGACCCGCCAGCGGAATCATGGCCCCATAACCCAATCAACCTAATCCAATTCTGGCTCCTGCCAAGCAGTGGGGTTGGGGCCGGCTGCAGGCTCATGGCCAAGCTGGGACCCAGGAGAGGGGCCGGCCTTGCGTAGATGGGGCAGACAGGTTGTCTCAGGGCCAGCAGGATGAGTTGGGGGTGGGAGGACAGAGAGCGGACAGGGAGGGAAGTCAGGAAACAATGTTGAGGCCCATCAAGGAGAAGGAAGTTTACTCGGGTCATAGACCAGGTAGGACGAGGGCAGGGGAAGAGGAGGAAGGAGCTGGTCGTCACCCCTTTTATTTCGTTTCTAAATGAGGAAATCGGAAGATAGCTTCTACTCTTTGAACCATCCCAGTCTGATGAAGGAGGCAAGACAGACCTTCCCCGGAAGTGGGCAGAGGAACGGACTAAATAACGCCTTGGCATGTCTTAGCCAAGTCTCACAGCCGCCCTGCCCCTTCTACCCCTCAGTCACTACTTACCCATCCTCCAGCAAGGAGTAAAACAATCACCCAGATAAAGGCCCTGGGCATTGCTACCAGTCACCCAGCTAAAGGCCCTGGGCATTGGCCCTGGACATTGGTGCCAGGCGCGACTGTGCACACTTTAGTGGCAACAAACCATGTGCTAGTCACCAGACGGCAGATCATCCTTACGCTTCCAGTTTATAGACAAGAAAGCTGAGGCCTAGAGAACCTATAGACAAGAAAGCCTGAGGCCTAGGGACTCACCCAGCAGGAGCACACAGGCTGTGAGTGTCCAGGGGAGCCCAGCCTCATCTCTGAGGTGTGAAGTCTGAGCTAGAACTGAAGTCTGAACGCAAACTGGAAATGAAGACATTCTGAGCAGAGAGGACAGCAAGGACCCAGCCCTGGGGCAGGACGGATAACAGGTGGGGAAACGGGGGACAGAGGAGCATGACTGAGCACAGCTCTCAAAGGGGAGAGGCTGCAAATCCAGGCTGGAGAAGTGGAAAGGGGACGCAACTGAGAAACTGGGGCCTCAATACAGCCTAAAAGCCAAGGGGGAGGGACTCTCCTCCCCATTTCATCAGCCAGACTTACTCAGACAGAGGCGGCACAGCTAGGAACTGAGGCAGGACAGAGATCCTGGCACAGCCCCCAGCAAGCCGCCTCCCTTCAGATATGAGAACCAAGCACAGAGACAGGCACACGGGGGAGCAGGCCTCACATCCCATCTCGCAGCGTTTGTTAAAACACAGGCTGCTGGAGCCACCCCGAGCGTCTGAGAGACTGCATTTGGAGTGGACCCCAGTTGTTTGTGCTTCCAGCAAACCCTCAGGTACTGTTGGTCCGGGGCCGCAGCGGGACAGAGCAGGATGCATCCGAGACACAAAAATGAAACTGAGCTTCCAAACCCCGGGTGCCAGTTCGGGAGGCTTCCTGAGATCGGCAGAAGGTGACCACAGGCCAGCAATACCTGAGCAGCGTGCCCCGCCCACTGCAAGCCCCGTGTGCCCATTTATTTGGGGCCTGTGGCCCTCACTTTGCCGGGCTTCCTCTGACCGCACCTCTCCCTCAGGGATGGACCCCTCCCGAAGCTACCCTGTGGTGTACAAGTACACGGTGTCGCTGTGGATCCTCTTTGGGATGGCGTGGCTGGCCTCGATCGTCAAGCCGATCCTGTCCCTTTGGGAGACTCCTAGGAGACCATGTTCCTGTTCCCACTGCAGCTCCGAGCCCAAAAGCTGGAGACAGTGCCCAGATGGGGAGGCAGAGGCCCAGCCCCCACAGCCAGGCAGCTGTCCAGAGAGGGCCTTGAGAGTTGGTCAGCATCCCCCAGCCGCTACTCAAGCGGAATACTGTGGAAAGGACAGCTAGTTATACACTAGTATTTGTTCTGTCTTCTTCCTCAGTAACTTGATGCCTGGCTTTATGTTTGGCACGTAAGCATACACAGTAAAGACTATGTTTTTGTCTTCCCTGGAGCCTAGGTGCAACTAGATGATTAGATTTGGCCCAAGGGATGCAAAGAGCATCCTATGTGGTTTTATGGATGTGACTCTCAGGAAGAAGTGGACAGAGTGTACTCCTCTTACTCCTTCCTATGTCCTTCTAGCTGGCTGTAATGTTGATATGGTGACTGGAGCTCTGGCAGCCATATTGCACCATGAGGTACAAGCCATGTTTGAGATTGGTGATGCAATAAGATAGAACCTGGATACCTGATATTTGCAGAACCACCATAACAACATTGGACTGAATAATGCCAGAGTTCATTAACAGGCGAGAGAAATAAATAAATACTTATTTAAAACACTGTTGTCTGGTGGGGTGGGGGGTGTCTTTTTCACTCACAACCAAATTCTGATTCACACACACAGAGATTAAAGCAAGATAGGGGCATACACAGAGAGAAAACAGCCACTCCCTAGGTGAGTTTGCCCAGGACTAGTAGAGGGAATGGACTGAAGACTCAAGTGTGGGCCCTCTAATGTTCCTAAAACACCCCAAGATCAAGATCTGCTGAAGACTCTCAGGCTGATGTGGCCAGCATGTGTCTGGTGTCAGGTTGGCTGCTGCATCCTTGTTCTGTCACTCAGCTACACCCTGTAAGGGCTAGTGGCCCCGTAGGCTTCTCCGCTGTCATCCTGCCCCACTGCACTCGAAGGCTGCATTCTTGATTTGCAGTGCCAGGTAGGGCTGGCAGAGTCACTACTGTTCACAAAGTATCTCACTCAGCATTTCTTTCTCTCACCCAGGGTTGCTACTAAGGCACCCTATGATCCTGTGATCCCCACCACATGTATATACACACACCCAGGGTCCCTAGCCCAGCTGGGAGCCCCGTGAATACCAGCTAGGAATACCAGCTAGGTTGCCAGGAGCAGCCGGATTCTAGCCTGAGCAAGCAACTATGACTGTTCTCCCCTACAGGGAACCAGAGATCTATGTGACAAATCCCTCAGCCTTGGGACTGTCCTAGAACTGGCTCAGGGACACCTTTTGGCCAAAAAAAGGAGGAAGGGCTGTTACATCATCCCATTTGCGCCATCTGATCTGGCCCTTAATCAGCCCAGGCCAGGCCAAGAAATAAACACCCTCAAGCAAACAAGGCCCATGCCCACTTCCTAAGAACCACAGGTTGGACAGAGGTAAATGGAAGTGTGGAAGAGATCGCTGGAGACCTGGAAGTTGCATCCTTTGCACTGAACATGCCAAGGGAACCCAGCACTTCAAAGTTGGGAAAAGGGAAGAGGCCCCAATGGTCTGATCCATCCTCGCCTTGGCCCCCTTCCACCTCGTGCCTGGCTTCTCCAGATAGAATCCTCGCCAGCCTTCACCCCACGTGCACCCCCAACTCATGCCCAGAAATACTTGCCCAGAGGGAATCACCCTTGAATGGGGGGGCGGGGGGATTTGGTCAGAGAAAGGCTTCTGATTTTCTGATTGGCCAGTTCTTCCCAGAATTCTGCTCCCCAGCCAAAGAGACCATCTGCTGGAGCTCTGAAGCATAAGTCCAGTCATGGAGTTGAGTGCTGGAGTGGGGACCTAGGTGAACAGTGGGGGCTGGGTAAGGAACGCTCAAGAAGCCATGTTGGGAACCACCTGAAAACGTTGGATCTGAGAATGTCCCAAGAACAGAAAATCAGAGGACAGGACAGAAAATGAAGTGCAGAGCCCTCCCTGGTGGCATAACAGGTTAAAACGCTGCACTATGAGGCTCTAAGCCACTGCAGCATGAGTTCGATCTCCGCTCAGGGAGCTGACCCACATGGCACAGCAGACCTCTCCTGTTTCATCCGCTGCTCCCCTCAGCAGTGTATTTCTGTCAATCTGCCTGTTTTGCTCCCTGTTTCCCTCTGATGAATCCTCTTACAAACACCCCTTCACACACACACCTCTGGCCTATATCCCAGTTTTTGTATGCATGCATAAATAAGTCTTTTTTAAAAAATAAAATAAAGCATCAGAGAGTGTGCCTCAGGGCAGAGGAAGTGCCAAGTGCTGGATCCCCCAGTCAAGCTGGTGACAGAGCTATAGGCTGCCCTGTGCAGCCAGTGCCTCTGCTGATGCCTCTTGGGGCTGGGCCAGCCAGGCTAAGTAAGCGGTGAAGTGACGTGGCACTGAGTCCTGCCCCAGGGGGCTCCTGGGCTGATAGCATCGACCTCTGGCCAGGATGCAGGGTCTGAGCCCACATGAGTCACAGGGAACCTCCAGGCGGAGAGCAGGAAGTGCATACATGAGGAGCTGTGCAAACTCAGAAAACCAGCCACTGCTGCACCCACTGCTGCCTGTGGCTCCTTCCTGGATGGCTCCAGGCCTTGCAGCCTCCTGGAAGCTGGGAGGCTCAGCATCACAGGGTGGACCCCTTTAAAACAGGGGTGTCTCAGGCCCTCCCTGGTGGTGCAAGGGGTTAAAGCACAGCACTATGATGCTCTCCGCAGCCACTGCAGCACAAGTTCCATCCCTGGCCAGGAAGGTGACCTACTTGGCACAGCAGACCTCTCCTGACCTGCCTGCTGCTCCCCTCAGCAGTGTATTTCAGTTAATCCATCTGTTCTTCTCCCCACTCTGTCTCTGGTGAATCCTCTCACCGCCCCCCCATACCTCTGGCCTGTACCCCAGTTTTGTAAGCATAAATAAATAAATCTAAAAAAAAAACAACAGTGGTGCCTTCTGGTAGTAGTAGTAGAATTTTTATGATTACTATTATTTTCTAGTGTCTATTGGGTATTTATTATGTATCTGGCACTGTTTACAATTCTTTACTTGTACTGTGTCATTTACTTCTCGCACCGATTGTGAGTAGAGAGCAATTATTTTTAAACATTGTGTGTGTGTGTGTTTTATTTTATAAAGGCAGATCTGGGAATTAAATTCAGGCAATTCAATTTGAGGATCTATATACTTGACATTCTGTGCCTTTTTTTTTTTAAGATTTATTTATTTATTCATACAGAACTGGGGTACAGGCCAGAGGCTCAGGGGCAGCAAGAGGCTTCACCAGAGACAGAGTGGGGAGCAGAACTGGCAGATCGACGAAGTACACTGCTGAGGGGAGCAGCGGGCGGGTCAGGAGAGGTCTGCCACGCCATGTGGTCACCTCCGGGGCAGGCGGGGATCGAACTCATGCGGAAGTGGCTTTAGCTTCTTAGTGCTGCGCTTTAACCCGCTGCACCACCGGGAGGGCCCCCTTTCCTCTTTTAAAGTTGTGTTTAAATAAAAGTGGTTTATAACATTATATAAGTTTCAGGCATACAGCTTTGTGTTTCGACATCTGTATATGCTGCATTGTGATCCTCCACCATGCAATGGACCCCCATAACCTGGCTGACTCTCCCCCTTTCTTCTCTGCCTCCAATACTTTATGCTGTTTTAAGATGGTGGGAAACGAGATTTTCTGGGCTGTTAAGATGAAGACAGCGACCCCTCCTGGCAGATACACATGAGAGCTGCTGCCACCCTCTGGGGGGCATAGACATCACCAGAGACCGCTGTGATCACCCCCCAATCACACTCCATGCCTCAGTTTGCACATCTGTGAAAGAAGAGGCTGAGCCCAGGGAGTCTGAATCTTATGTTTTTACTTCCTCAGCTTTGGTCTGGATTGTTCTGATATTTCAGGGAGGGCAGTACCCAGCCCCACCCAACATACAGCCCCACCCAACATGCGGACAGAGAGAGTTCGTATGCCTCTGGAAGGGACTGCAATATGAAATGACAGTGGTTTACAACATTGTATAAGTTTCAGGTATACAGCTTCGAGTTTCAACATCTGTATATGCACACTCATTTTTGGAGGCAGGCCAGCGAAAGTCTCGACTCAGTGGGAGCCAGAAGATTCCTCAGTCCGGGGCAATCACAATGCAGTCTTCCCCTCCCCAGTTTGCCTCGGCCCTTACCTCACCAGATCCCCACCCTTGGGCTCTAGGCCTTGACAACACTACTCTGAAGTCAGCTCCAGTGGCCAACCCCCTCCACCCTCCTCCCCAAGCCACACACAGTGCTGGGCCCAGGGCCCCCCAGCCAGTCCACTGACTCACCCATCCACAGGGTGTTCCTCCTCCTCCCCACGGTAGTGTGCTGGAATGGATCCTCTAATGCCTGCCTCACCTCTGCCCTTTTTTGAGTATCTCTTCTCCAGTGAAGATTGTTCCTTGAGGCCAAAGAGACAGCAACCCCCTCTCTGAGGCCTTCGCAGCCCACCCCTAGGGTCTTTGCCCAAGTTTCTCAACCTTCCATGCTCCAATTTCAAAATCAACCCCTCAGGGACCCAGAGCAGCCTAAGGCCCTGAAGGAGGAAAGACAATGAGACTGGGTACTTCCCACCCCAGTCATGGCGCTTGTGAGGAGCCAGGGATGCACCCCACACACATGCCCAACCAGAATGTTCTCTCAAAGGGTCAACCAAATCATGCAAACCCTCTCCACACAGCCACTGGACCAGCCTGCTGCCCCTGACTAGTGCTGTGGTTAGGACCCTTTCAGCCTTTGCCAACATGTTGACCTTTCCACATCTTTTCAGATTAACTTTTTGCCTCATTTATGTTTCTTGGACCCAGCAGTGAGTCTATATTCTACCTCTACCACTTACTTGCTCTTCAGCTTTGGAGAAGTTGCATAGATTTCTAAGCCTTAGTTTCCCCAACATTGACACAGAAAACCTGATATCACCCTCAGCAATGTTGGCTGAGTTAGGGGAGTGAGCTGCTGCTGAGAAAGCGCCCATGGTGTCTGGTACATAACAGGCCTCAGACTCTCACTCCTCTCTGTTTCTCTTCTTCTTGAACTGGAGGTCTCCCCCTCCAGTTCTCCTTCTTTCTTCTGGAAGTTCATAAAGCCTTTCTTTACCCCTTCTTCCAAAAAGACCTCCTGAA